TCTAATTCTTGCAATGTGGTTTTTGATGCCGAACTCCATGCTGTTGATCCGTATTCAAGATGTGGTCGAACACTTTGTTGGTAAACTTTTCTAAGTATTTTCCCGCTAGCACCCCATGTGGTTCCACTTAGTTTTCTCAGAATGGCTACCCTCCTTCTGGCTTTGGTTGCTGCCTTGTTGATGTGTTTTCTCCATGTTAATCTATCATCAAACGTTACGCCGAGGTATGTGGGCTCTTTATCCTCTCTCAGGGGTACTCCATTTATGTGCATGGCGCCTGATTTTTGTTTAGGAGAAAGGGTAAAGAGAGAGTGGTGCTGCATTTGCCTATGTTGATGCTGACACACCATTTGTCGGCCCATTTAGCCATTGCATCTATGGCTCTTTGTAGTAGTCTGGTGGCCACTGTCGCATTTTCATTTGTACACCAGAGTACCAAGTCATCAGCATACATTGCAGCTTTAATTCCATGGGGTAGTTCAGAAAGCAGGTCGTTGATATAGACTAGGAAGAGTGTGGGGGACAGGACACCTCCTTGTGGGACGCCATGGCGCAGCAAAACTTTCTTGCTCTTAAGTCCATCTATCTGTACTCGGGATCTTCTGTTATACAAGTATGCTTTGACCCATTTGTACATACTCCCATTCACCCTGCAGTCTCTCAGTTTCTTCAGTAGACCTTCTTTCCAGACCTTGTCAAAGGCTTTCTTCAGATCTATCCATGCCGTTAGCACTAGCTTCTTTTTCCTGGAAGGCATCCTCAATTTCTTGTGAAAGGTAAGTTGTCTGGTCTTCTGTGGAGTAGCACTGTCTAAATCCTGCCTGCTGCGGCGTGAAAAATGTTTTCACTTTCCAAGTACCATTGGAGTCTAAGGTTGACAATACGTTCCATTGTTTTACAGAGGCAGCTGGTAAGACTGATCGGTCTATAGCTGGAGGCATCAGAACTGTCCTTTCCTGGTTTAAGCAGAGGTATTGTGATTGCTTCTCTCCATATTTGAGGAACTTTGCCACTGGTCCAACAATGATTAAAGATCTGTAGCAGCTTTATTTTGGCAGTTGTTCCAAGGTTCTTGATCATTTCGTTGGTGATACCATCAATTCCAGGTGATTTTCCCATTCTCAGCTTTGATATTGCTAATTCTAACTCGCTGGATGTAAATGCTGCCACCAGTGCCTCAGGAATTATATCTTTTTGTCTTGTATGTTGTTTGTTTTCCATTAAAACTGACCTTAATGCAAACAAATGTACATCAGAACAAAGAACTAAATGTTCTTGTAGTACCGGTGAGAGGGACCTGGGAAAATGTCAAGACGTATTTGACAATTTAGACAGCTACTCACTGTCAGATTTACAAGAAACAACAGGAATGCCATCAAACCCTATTTTCAATGACCATAAAGATTCTAAAACTATTGCTGAATCCCTTTCAGACCTCAAAGGAACTTCAAGTCAACCATCTGACTGTCCTGATTCAGTTTCTCAAGGGATATTTTTAGCAGCACAAAAGAATCCACAGTCAGACCATGAAGACACCGCAAGTGCATTTCTAAACAAGACTGTCTCTGGTGTTAACAAAATGCAGAAAACATTGCAAACACTATCAGCTACGGACTCGGCCACCTATCTATCAGATTCACAAATGCAACAGCTAGCATCGGAGGATTTTGAACAAGTTTTCAATGCTAATGAGATGGAGGATATTGATAAGATGGAAGAGACACATCAGGACAAGTTTGTGCACAGCTTCAGCTCAGCCCAAGCCAGATCTGTGAGAGAAGTTGAGCAGAGAAGAGCTGCAGGTAAGCAGCTTATTGAAGGAGTTATAGCTGACCTTGTGTCTGTAAACAGGCAGCTGCTGAGGATGAAGAGAGAAATGGAGACTGTGAAAAGAGTGGTGCAGCAGCAACAAAACAAGCCAAGGCAATCTTTTCATGGTAAACATGAGTTTGGGTTTCATTATCAGAACTGACATCTTGTTAGTGAAGTTTTTAATGGCAAACATGAGTTTGGGTTTCGTTATCAGAACTGAAATCTTGTTAGTGAAGTTTTTAATGGCGAACATGAGTTTGGGTTTCGTTATCAGAACTGAAATCTTGTTAGTGAAGTTTTTAATGGCAAACATGAGTTTGGGTTTCGTTATCAGAATTGAAATCTTGTTAGTGAAGTTTTTAATGGTAAACATGAAGTTGGGTTTCGTTATCAGAATTGAAATCTTGTTAGTGAAGTTTTAAATGGCAAACATGAGTTTGGGTTTCGTTATCAGAATTGAAATCTTGTTAGTGAAGTTTTAAATGGCAAACATGAGTCTGGGTTTCGTTATCAGAATTGAAATCTTGTTAGTGAAGTTTTGGTTTCGTTATCAGAATTGAAATCTTGTTAGTGAAGTTTTAAATGGCAAACATGAGCTTGGGTTTTGTTATCAGAATTGAAATCTTGTTAGTGAAGTTTTAAATGGCAAACATGAGTTTGGGTTTCGTTATCAGAATTGAAATCTTGTTAGTGAAGTTTTAAATGGCAAACATGAGTTTGGGTTTCGTTATCAGAATTGAAATCTTGTTAGTGAAGTTTTAAATGGCAAACATGGGTTTGGGTTTCGTTATCAGAATTGAAATCTTGTTAGTGAAGTTTTAAATGGCAAACATGAGTTTGGGTTTCGTTATCAGAATTGAAATCTTGTTAGTGAAGTTTTAAATGGCAAACATGAGTTTGGGTTTCGTTATCAGAACTGAAATCTTGTTAGTGAAGTTTTGGTTTCGTTATCAGAATTGAAATCTTGTTAGTGAAGTTTTAAATGGCAAACATGAGTTTGGGTTTCGTTATCAGAATTGAAATCTTGTTAGTGAAGTTTTAAATGGCAAACATGGGTTTGGGTTTCGTTATCAGAATTGAAATCTTGTTAGTGAAGTTTTAAATGGCAAACATGAGTTTGGGTTTCGTTATCAGAATTGAAATCTTGCTAGTGAAGTTTTTAATGGTAAACACGAGTTTGGGTTTCGTTATCAGAATTGAAATCTTGTTAGTGAAGTTTTTAATGGTAAACATAAAGTTAAGTTTCGTTATCAGAATTGAAATCTTGTTAGTGAAGTTTTTAATGGTAAACACAAGTTTGGGTTTCGTTATCAGAACTGAAATCTTGTTAGTGAAGTTTTTAATGGCAAACATGAGTTTGGGTTTCGTTATCAGAACTGAAATCTTGTTAGTGAAGTTTTTAATGGTAAACATGAAGTTGAGTTTCGTTATCAGAACTGAAATCTTGTTAGTGAAGTTTTTAATGGTAAACACAAGTTTGGGTTTCGTTATCAGAACTGAAATCTTGTTAGTGAAGTTTTTAATGGCAAACATGAGTTTGGGTTTCGTTATCAGAACTGAAATCTTGTTAGTGAAGTTTTTAATGGTAAACACAAGTTTGGGTTTCGTTATCAGAACTGAAATCTTGTTAGTGAAGTTTTTAATGGCAAACATGAGTTTGGGTTTCGTTATCAGAACTGAAATCTTGTTAGTGAAGTTTTTAATGGCAAACATGAGTTTGGGTTTCGTTATCAGAATTGAAATCTTGTTAGTGAAGTTTTTAATGGTAAACATGAAGTTGGGTTTCGTTATCAGTAATGACATCTTGTTAGTGAAGTTTTTAATGATAAGCATGAGTTTGGGTTTTATTATCAGAACTAAGGTCCTGCTGAAGTTTTTAATGGTAATATCAGAACTAACATCCTGTAAGAAGTTTTTAATAGTAAAAATTAGTTTGGTTTTCATTTTCAGAACTAAGGTCCTGCTGAAGTTTTTAATTGTAATATCAGAACTAACATCCTGTAAGAAGTTTTAAATAGTAAAAATTAGTTTGGTTTTCATTATCAGAACTAAGGTCCTGCTGAAGTTTTTAATGGTAAACATGAGTTTGGTTTTCATTATCAGAACTGACATTTTGTTAGTGAGGTTTTTAATGGCAAAAAGAGTTTGGGTTTTGTTATCAGAATTACCATTCCTTTAGTGAAGTTTTCAATGGCAAACATGAGTTTGGTTTTCGTTATCAGAATTAACATCCTTTTTAGTGAATTTTTTAATGGGAAACATGAGTTTGGATTTCCTTATAAGAATTAACATACTTTTAGTGCAGATTTTAAAGGAAAACATCAATTTGGGTTCCATCACAGTTGCTCGCTGACTGGCTGTTAACTCTTTCACTGACTTGAAAATATACTAAGGAGGTAATGTCCACCATCATAAGTGTGTTACTTTTACACTGGCTGCCGAAACTGGAAGCACTCACTGTAGAGGCTAGATATCTTTAGTATGCTCTAACAACGTAACAAAATGAAAGGTAAGCAGTGAGTGATATAGAGGGAAGAAAAGGAAAGGACTAAACACATATCTTGTCATCTTCAAGACTAAAGTTTTTGGTTGAAGATTTGTGATTTTTCATTTATATAACATTTTTAAGTTGTGTTATAATTTCATTTGAGTGCTACTGGAAAGGACACCAACTGTCAGTTAAAGTTGATCTCCAGTTGTTCCAGGAACTGTTATATCCTTTAATAAACATTGTTAAAAGAAAGCATTTTGTGTTTTTTTGTTTTTAAGAAAATTTGCAAACAGCAAATGAGTTAATCCAGTCCTGATGACATTGGTAACATCTGAAGAATCTGTGCATGTCAAAAGTAGGGCAGCGGTCTTGAAACTGTCATTTTGACATTACCATGTTTGTCGGCACCATGATGTCATGTGATTAACACTCTTGACAACTCTAACAATACTGACAGTACACTCTTATTGTTTTCATTTGAAGGCCAGTGATACTAATAACTAAGTAAGCACATTATATAGCCAGCATAAAATATTTTTTTTCAAACAAACGCACATAAACAAAGCATTTTTCCAAAATCGAATAAAAATAATTACAAGTAAACAGAAAAAACAAATTCACATTTCATTGGAAACTTTATTTACAGTCTATGTGAATACTAAATACTAGAGTCCCAAAGGTGATCACAGACATTTTGTTAAGCCAAGTCAAAATCATCTCTCTGAGGATTAAAAGAAAAACATTTATTATTTAAAAGTATATACTAACCAAAGATCTATGCAAAATTTGTCACATAAAAGTATATGTTGACCAGACATGTCCTTGAAAATGTGTTACATAAAAGTATATGTGTGCACCACACCCTAGCTTTTGCCAGGGGCCGCAATATAGGCAGGCCATAAATATGGCCCATTGTCTAAATGCGGTCTCTGGGACCTCTCCACGGTGATCCTCATCCACAGAACTGATTGAAGGTACATGAGACAGGAGGTTGTGGATAGACATGAATATCAATGCCACATGGAACTGACTGCAAGAAGATGCCTCGAGACCAGGCAGCCCCCTAAGGCATCTCCCAAGGGTCTTTGAATAACAGAATGTTTCACTGACGTAACTGCATTGTGATTGTTTACAGCACAGCTGAGATATCTTGCCCCTTTCTGGCCGATTTAGCTGTCTTCGTCAGGCATTTGTTCACTTGGTTAGCCTTCCCGATTGGTTTCTTGGTACATGCCGTAGCCTTATTTAACAGGGTCCTCTCTGTCAATTTTACTACTGGCCCTGCAAAACCTATCACAGGCAATAGCAAGCGGACTGGTCAATTGTCAAAGCAAGACAGGGGCAGAACATCAGCATTCCCCAGGATCCAGGAAGGCTTCCATAAATGAAGAGCCAACACATGACGCCTTGGTCTTGGGCTCACCCAAGGAATCAACACGCCCTACATAATGACACTAGAATGGCAATGAGGCCTGGCGATGCAGGCACAGCTGTTGATCTGGCTCTAGTTACCCAAGAACTATGCTCATAACATTCAGAGTGCAAGTTAAATGGTAAACCCAATCAGCCATAGAGATCTTGAGTCTTTATTAAAAAATTCATACTGGGACAACCAGTCAGATGATACTGAAGACAATAAAATTCCAATCCCTTGAAACAAAAACCTTCAATAAACATCAACAAAATTATGTTTTTAATACTGACAACCACATACAAAATAATTTGCTGCGTATCAATTACAGGATGTTGCAGAACCAACCCCAGCATTTCGCTTTTACTAGAAATTTTTATGTTTAGTAGTTTGTGGCTGCTGCTGAACAGTCAGCACTCCATACTAGTGTCGAAGTCATGAAAAGGTGTCCCCGTGTGGGTTCCGGGGCCCCATTGAAGGGAAAACAAGAATAGACCCACTGCCTCCCCAAAAGCATGTCTTAAGAGTCGATTAATTAGGGAGCTTCCTTTGAAGTCGGAGTGCATCTGCCGGAGAGGCAAGGAACCAACAGTGTGTATCCAAGAGAATGAGACCTGTAAAACTGATGCACACGCAACACTCAGCTTCTGGAGCAGGACTGCAGTTCAGTAGTGGATGAGCAACCAGAACCTTCCGCCAGAGTTTACAGCTGGTGAACGCGAAGAAGAAGAAGATGAAAAGGTGTGTGCTGCCAAATCAGCAGCAGATGGAATCTAACCAAATATTATGAAGTGTGTTCGCAACGCTTAAGCCACAGATGCAGACCAATTGACAAGTACATGTGTAAATATTTATACACACAATTGATAAAACACTTCTGTTCATTCAGATGTGTTATTACAGACAAAAGTATGCTCGGTTGCTCTCTCTCTCTCTCTCTCTCTCTCTCTCTCTCTCTCTCTCTCATACACACACAGAATTACAGTAAATTACATCTATCCTGTTAAATTTAAATCAACATACAACAGACAGAATATATAGATTTAAAAATGCGTAAGGAAAAGACCGCAAAAAATACATGGAGAAGGCAGCTAGATAGTGACGTTAAAAAGATGGGGAAGATATGGATGAAATGCGTGCAACAGCGAAGGATAAAACTACTAGGTCTAAGCCCGTTGAGGGCTATGTCCCACTGGGGGATAGAAAAAGAATAATACTGATGTTGCCTGTTAATAAAAGCAAAACAAAATAATGTGAACATGACACAATCTCAGAGAAACAGAACACACTGACAAATATCCAAACACTCACAATATCATTATATTCCTGAACTTGTTTCTTGATCTTTGAGGTGTCCTTCCAGGATACAAAGTCCTCCATGCTTCTGAAAAATTGATTATCTTGTGTCGAATGTGAAAAAGTAATAGGTTCAATTCAACATCGTTCCCGTTTGTGTTCTCGGGGTCCATTTTGAAGAACAACGCATACAGACTTTGATTATATGCTTGTTAGGGAAGCAGTGGGTCTATCCCCCCACCCCCTCAAATGGGGCAACAGAACCCACATGGGGGGACTCAACTTATGAGTACCAGGATATTTTCTGGGAAGTAAAGACAGCCAGCACGATTTTTTGAACATATCACCTTCTGAGTAAAGACTGGTTTAAAAAACATAGAACTAACTGACTGCGTCCGTGGCTAAGGCGTTGCGAGTCTGACTCGTAATCCAACGTACCACGATTCAAACCCACTGCGGGCTGCGTGGATTTTTATCGTGGTATGGGACGTCGCAGGTCGACCCAGCCTCAAATGGATACCAGGATGGGCTGTCCAAGGGAAGTAAAGACGGCCAGCGCAATGCTGACCACATTACCCACGGAGTGCCGATTGGTCTGTAAAAACATGGGTGCTCTTCCCATATGCCCGATGCGCCTAAGGACGTGTAAAGGGATCTTTACTTTACTAACTGAATGGTATACCTCATAGCTTTTAAGGCCATCCTTTACTGTTCTATTACCTTGACACCACGAAAAGCCTTATGTTATTTTTTTCAATTACCACAAACCATGACAAAGGGCCTTTATTTTGTATCTTCGATCATAAAAAAAAAGACCTTTTACTCTTATTTTTAAACTGTAAATATGTGTCTTACTATTACCTTATACCAGGGCTTTTCAACTAGAGGCCTAGCAATTGGCTCCTCGGATCACTGCAAGTGGTATTGTATTATTGACATCCCCGTGTGGGTTCTGGGGCCCTGTTATAGAAAAAACAAGAACAGACCCACTACCTACCATAAGAGTCAACTAACTGGGAGCTTCCTTCAAAGTCGCAGTGCATCTGCCTGAGAGTCAAGGAACCAGCAGTTTGCATTCAAATAAGTCACATCTGTCAAACGGATGCACATGCAACACTCAGATTCTGGAAAAGGACTGCAGTTCAGAAGTGGACGAACAATCAGAACTTTCCGCCAGAGTTTACAGCTGGTGAAAAAGTATTAATTACCTTTCTATGCTGGGGCTCAGCCCTTTGGCCCCTGACTATCCCTATTTACACAATTTTGGCTCCTGAGTAAAATTAGTTGAAAAGCCCTGCCCTATACTATAAAAAAAGCTGTTTCTTGAATGTAAATAAATCAATCTGTTTCACTTGAACATCTTTCGCTCAAAGTCTTCCGGCCATCTCTGTATGTGTACAGCCAATGCATCATGTCTTGTATTAATGCAGGAGATCCTTCACAGAAACTGATCTATTCGTTCTTAAGCCCGCAAAGCTAACATCAAAACTTCTTTCTTCAAGCCACAACAAAGCTTAACAGCCAAAATTCTTCAGCCACCCTATGTGCTCTCTTACACAGCCACATGGCCAAAAATACTTCCGCTCTCTTCTTTAATGGCCAAAATACTTGCTATCTTCAGCCTTTAACGGATATCCGCTCTCTTCAAGCCACAACGAAGCCTCATGCCAAAATACTCTTTCAAGCCACAACCGGAAATGGCCAAAATACTTCCGAGCCCCTAACATGGCCAAAATACTTCCGCTCTCTTCAAGCCACAACGAAGCTTAAATGGCCAAAATACTTCCGCTCTTCAAACAATGAAGCCAAAATACTTCCGCTCTCTTCAAGCCACAACGAAGCTTAACATGGCCAAAATACTTCCGCTCTCTTCAAGCCAACAAAGCTTAACGCCAAAATACTTCCGCTCTCTTAACAAATAACATGGCCAAAATACTTCCGCCTCTTCTCTTCAAAAAAGCCAGCCACAACGAAGCTTAACATGGCCAAAATACAAAGCTTAACATCAAAATACTTCCGCTCTCTTCAAGCCACAACAAAGCTTACACACTTGGCCACAACGAAGCTTAACATGGCCAAAATACTTCCGCTCTCTCAAGCCACAACGAAGCTTCAAAATACTTCCGCTCTCTTCAAGCCACAACGAAGCTTAACATGGCCAAAATACTTCCGCTCTCTTCAAGCCACAACGAAGCTTAACATGGCCAAAATACTTCCGCTCTCTTCAAGCCACAACGAAGCTTAACATGGCCAAAATACTCCGCTCTCTTACTTGGCCGTTCTCTTCAAGCCACAACGAAGCTTAACATGGCCAAAATACTTCCGCTCTCTTCAAGCCACAACAAAGCTTAACATGGCCAAAATACTTCCGCTCTCTTCAAGCCACAACAAAGCTTAACATGGCCAAAATACTTCCGCTCTCTTCAAGCCACAACGAAGCTTAACATGGCCAAAATACTTCCGCTCTCTTCAAGCCACAACGAAGCTTAACATGGCCAAAATACTTCCGCTCTCTTCAAGCCACAACGAAGCTTAACATGGCCAAAATACTTCCGTTCTCTTCAAGCCACAACGAAGCTTAACATGGCCAAAATACTTCCGCTCTTGGGACAGGATGCTGTTTGTCTGTCAGTGATTCTTGGTGTTCAGATCAAGTAGGATGTGGGTGCTCTCTTCAAGCCACAACAAAGCTTAACATGGCCAAAATACTTCTACTCTTGGGACTGGATGCTGTTTGTCTGTCACTTATTCTTGGTGTTCAGATCAAGTAGGATGTGGGTGTTTTTTCTTCTTCTTCTTGGTCCGTGGTGTTCTCAGATTTTTCTCTAGCAATTCAGTTCTAAAGCTCCAATTTTTTTCTTCAAAGACTAAGTAACAGTTCATTACTCACATTTAAAAGTTTCCACTGGAAGATGCATGATCTCAAAATGTTTACTTTCCCTTGCTTACAGGTGCCGAGTCATAGATTCTTCAGACTGACTCAGGCAAGTAAGTTACTAACCACAAAACTACTGCGGAGTGGATTAACTACTCCAGTATTAAACACTTACCTTGTGACCAGATAGGCAGGGTCATCAATGACGTTAGGGCCCACTCTCACGTCTACTTGTGGTTAAGAGAAAACATACCAGAAGACCTAGCTGATATTCTAAACATGGTGAGCTATAATAAAAGTGAAGAAGTAAAGGACACTTTTTCCACACCTACAGGTGTATTGGGTACATAGGGCTAGATCTATATTTTATAGATCAAACGGCACTTGATGGGTAATGTGGTCAGCATCACGCTGGCTGCCTTGACTTCCCAGGACTTACTTGGTACCCACTCAAGGCTGTGTCGACATGGGTGTTAAAGTCCTGCCAGGACCCGAACCCATGACATTCCGCTCTGCAGGCAAGCTTCTAGCCGCTAGACCACAGCAGCTACCCATAAGCTACAATATAGGTTAAATAACGGTCCTACACTATCGCAACATACATCTATCTAACAGCGAGTCTGGAGGATTTTTAACATGCAGGAAAAGACCAGTGGACTGTGAATCAGGTTACAACCAGCACCAACTGCAAGATCTGTCTGGACAGACTGAGTCATCTACCATCATGCCCTAGATATCCTTAACTCTATTAGTTCTAGCCAGGTGTTAACCATTCTCTCAACCCTTTCACCCTGAGAACACTATCAAAAATTATCCTGCTCCGTTGGAATCTCATGGAAACAAATCATTTAAAAAACAGCAATTATACATAGGTCGCTAACAAATTCATAAAAAATGTATTTATATATGTGTTTTTGTTTGCAATATATAAAGAAACACGAAGGATGCAATCAATAAAGATGAACAGTGTGAAGCATTAAATGGAATACATTCCCCATGGCTTTAAAACAAAAAATATATGAATCCAATAACTTTTGCCATGCCTCTATCACTGTGGCTAATGGATAAAAATTGACATCCGCTTTGAAAAAAAAAGCTAGCTGCCTCCTAAATGCTATTTTTAGTTAATGTATTCATATCTTGACCTCCCAAAAGTTTGTGCGGGTGCAAAACAATCAATAGCATTAACTTTGCGTCTTGTGTAGCAGTTACTTTGCAAAGTGTTCCTGCCATCACAGCAGTCTGGAAGGAACCCAGTTATTAGCTCTTTCACCGATGCATTTTCCTGCTAAAGGCGCCTCCGAAGTCTTACGTCCATATAAGACCATGTCTCATTCCCGGTATCTTGTTTTCCATTGCTGTTCTTATCAACATAAATTCAGGTCTGAAACAGCATATCATCCTGGCTTAGCAAGGGAGATTAATCTTGATCTACTTACACTTGTGTGCAGTTACGTCCCTTGTGCTCTCCATTCTTGCCAACCTATTATTTACCGACTTATCGTTAAAAGATAAACTTCACATTAACCATGTGTAAAAGATCCAGAAGACGCAGATAATTGTGCATAAAGACATGCTGCAGAATAAGCCACTTGTACTGAATAGCAAGTAGAGCCTATCAGTAAAATGCTATCACTATATTCTTCTACAATAAAAATTAAACAGAACATGCACGTAAACTGCAGGTCAGAAGCGTCAAACAAACACGATTAAAATTGCACACAACAGTATTTTTGTTTAAATCTCAAAATAGACAGAAATCCAAGCAACAAACAAATCAAAGTTTTACCTAAAGATTATTCACCTTCATTTAAACTTAAATAAATAAATATATTACACTGCTACGTCATTACGTAAAATGAATGGCTAAAAAAAAAAAATCCCTGGACAAGTGTTTGTTTTTAAAGTAATACCGTCAAACAAAATGGAGAGAGGACTCTTCTAAAAGAAAACAAATGGTGTTATGTTTACTGATACAAATCCAGTTGAAGAGGTGGAGAAAACACGCTGGTGTTGGATAGGACATATGTTGAGAAAACCAGGAGAATATCATTGCACTGGAACCCACAGTGGCATATGAATCAAGGCAGAACAACACAAGAAAAGGGAAGCTAGTGAGTAAAGTTTTTTTTAAAAAACGGGGGGGGGGGGGGTTGTTACTGTTTGAGCTGCAGGCAACAGTAAAGGACAGAACGACTTGGCGTGAGTCCACAAGAAAGGGGGTTTAGCGCATGAATGATGTGCTCAATACCAGGCCAGTCACCTTTGCTTTCTACGACATTTCTTGTGCCCAGGTCAACCCAACAAGAGTCTAAATAAGTATTGAGAATCCCCATGTGGGTTCCGGGGCCCCACGGGGGATGGGGGAGTGGGACAAGAATAGGCCCACTGCCTCCCCAACAAGTATGTTGTTAAGAGTTGACTAATTTAGGGTTTCCTTCAAAATCTCTGAGTGCATCTGCCTGAGAAACAAGGAACCAACAGTCTGCATTCAAAAAGTCAGATCTGTAAAACGGATGTGCATGTAACATTCAGGTTCTGGAACACGTCTAAAGTCCAGAGGTGGGTAAATAACCAGAACTTTTCACACGAGTTTACAGCCAGCGAGCGTGAAGGAAAAAGAAGAGTATTGAGAAATTTAAAACAAGGGGAGAATTAAAAAAAAAAATTTAACCAAGGAATTAACATTTTAACCCCCCCCCCCCCCACTCCCCCCCCCCCCCCCCCCCCCCCCCCTCCCACCCCCCCCCCCCCCCCCTTTTTGATTTTTCCTTTGTAGAACAGTTAACTCCCCACAACAACAGCAGAATCATAATTTCACAGATAACAAGGAATCTTACTGTTCTTCATTTCAACAAATTTAAACTGTGAGTATAAAACTGTGCCCACATCATAATGCTGAATGCTTAGTCGACCCCAGTGCCGAAGCATAAATAACAACGCATTTTTATAGGGTAAACAATACATTTATTGTAGAATTTTCTGGTTATATATTTCCTTGTATGTGTTTTCCTGTCTGGCCTGTGTGTGCCTCTTCACACAACCTTACCTGATTCTCCAGTGATACCAGATCTCACATACATAACAGGGAACTGTGCAGCCTAAGGGTTAGATGTTCTCCTGTCAGCCCAACGGTCTTAGGTTCGACTCTGCACTGAGCCGAATTTTTTTATTCACAACTGACCTTAGCTTCTAGGTTGACCCAGCCTAAAACGGGTAGCAGGCACGGTTGTGAAAATACGGGGGTGACTTAAGTCAAGCTAATACAAAGGAATTCCAGTGATGTGTGACTAAAAAGCTTAACGAAACGGGGAAGCTTTTCTGGGCTATCCTCAGAATAACAATAACGGTCCCAAATTGTTGAGGCTGAAAATATACCAAAACAGGGCCTCAGTCATGTGTCAATTGCGAATTCCGGGGACTGTACCGCCACCGCTGAGGCTATCCCCCACGCCGCTCAAGCGGCATGGTTTGCGGCTAAACTAGATGGCTGAGACTCACGAGCAAATAAAATGAAGGAAGCTGTAGGAGATGCGATAGCTGCTGCTTGTGAGTTCCAGCAATCTATGGTCTCCCCACTATCTCCATATTATCGTCAGTAATGTTGCGTTGCTCTAAATTGTCAACGGTCGCTATTATCGTCTACAGTGTTGCGTGTCATCACATTGTTATGTAATCCTAGTTTTGCCGCAAGAGTTCGTCGCAGGAAGTCCGCATTTTACATTCGACTGAGGCCCTGTTAGGGTATTTGTTTGGCCGCCATAATATGGGGTAGAAGTTCGAAGGAGAGGCAAATATTCTAATATCGTATACACCCAATGTATCACATATATAAAAAGGATCATTTTACTTACCTTTTTGTTAAACACACATAACAGTTCACCAGAAAAACACACAGGCATCTCCGAAACAAACACTTCCACCCAAACATTGATATCAAGTTCAAGGATACGCCCCTGCTCTATGAAAGTTGTTGCCGCCTTCAACGTTTCAGCCATATGGTTGCGCACCATCAACACGGGAAGTCTTCGTCTGCAAAGATAAATTAAACACGCAGGGGAAATAACTTCTGACAATGGTGGGCTGGGGGGTGTGTTTTATCAGACATAAATTCACGGGTTGTTTTCTCTTGCTTGTGTCAATAATGAAATAGCGGAATATTTCACATAAACATATACGACATGAGCATTTTAGTAGTTTGATAATATCCTGTTGTGAAACTCGTTTTTTTTTTAAATATATATATTAGTTATCGACGGTGACAAGGTGTAGCAGACAAAGACCGGAAACAGGAATTTGAAAACTATTAGAGCCGAAAGAAAGACGTAAAACAGCACGACAAATACTTGTACTAGTATTAACTTCATCAGCACAGAACTACAGGCTACACATGCTGCTGTAACCGCTACAGGTGATCCAATTAGTCTCTTCTTCCTGTTCAACGGTTGTAACCTGAGGTGAAAAGCTGTTCGTTCACTTCTAGACTTTTGTTTCGGAACTTGAGTGTTGCACATCCGTTTTATATTTGGATTTTTTGTATGCAGACCACTGGTTCCTTGCCTCTCAGGCAGAAACACTCCGACTTCGAAGGAAGCCGCCATTTAGTCGACTCTTACGACATGTTTGTTGAGAGAGTCAGTGAGTGAATTCTTGTTTTCCAAACAATGGGGCTCTGGAACCGACACGGTTAGGCCCAAATTACAGTATGACAGGCAAATCTGGGATCTGCTTGATGGTTTGCCATTCGTATTAAGAGTTATGTAATGCACAGGTTAGGCAACATGATTCAAAGTCCTCCTCTGTTTTCCCCTCGGTTAAACGTTGATAATAACAGAGGGAAAGCAATCATCATTCACCAAGATTCTTTCCGTGTGGGTTCGGGGACCTCATTCTGGGGGAAAACAAGAACAGACCCATTGCCTCCACAACAAGCATGTCGCAAGAGGCGACTAATTTTGGGATGTGGGCGGTTTCTTCGTAGTCGGAGTGCATCTGCCCGAGCGGCTAGGAACAATCAACTGCACACAAGTAAGCCAGTAAAACGGATGTACAGTAAAGCTGATGAACACAAAAAACTCAGGCCCTGGCACAAAGCCAAAGTCCAAACTGACCAAACAACCAGGACCTTCCGCCGGAGCTTACAGTCAGCGAACAAAGAAGAAGAAGATTCTGTGAAATTCCATGATTGTGTTATTGTTCGTAAATTCGCAATATCATCCAGCGAGTTTAAGTAATAAGCTTATTGTTCTTTCACCATAAGAGCCGACAACTTTGCTTACTGGTTGTGGATTGTTGTTTTCGTCATTTGGATTAGTATGTGTATGTGTGAGGGCGACAGAGAGAGAGAGAGAGAGAGAGAGAGAGGGGGGAGAGAGAGAGAGAGAGAGTTTTGGAAACGCTATACTACTGAAACTTTGCTTCTACTATTACCACCACTTTTCGTCTTCCCGTTTTTTTTGTATTTACATCCTTCTATTGCGTCCTCTGCCACTGAACTCCCAAATGGAGCACATGCTCTCAACCATGGCCAAACTTTAGTCTAAAGTTTGGCCATGTCTCAACCAACTTAGGTCACGCTTGACGTAGACATTGTTTTTCACCCGCGACTGGAGTTTTCTACTGAAGGAGCAGCCTATCTCACGCCACCGCCCTTCTGGGTGTCTTTTGATCTCAACGGCAGCTTTATTCGTTTCTTCCCACGTAGTCCCCGCTATAAAACACACGCACTGTAACTAACTGGGATATTTCAGAAACAGTCAGTTTTTTATACAAATTTTTTTCTCGTTTGAAAACATTACTACAGAGGCCCTCACACAATACCTGCAGTCCACAATCCTAATCCAGTTCTGTGTGTGCCGTAACAGGTCCAAGCCGGAACTGGATCACCCGGACACAATGCTGCTTTTTAACTAGAACTTTAAGAGAACGGCGCTGGAAGAATCGGGGCCAGTGAGAATTCATATTTCAACCACAATGGTAGCGCCCCAATGAAGTAGCTGGGTGCACTGTCACTCTTCCCTGCTTCCGTTTGGCATTAGCATACAATTATTTACTGCAGGAACACTGGCTGTTCAGGTTACTGCGTTAACTACTAGGCTTTGCCAGTCCAGCCTTACACCACTGATCGGTAACAGCGCTGTAGAGAGAGATGCCCCTCTTTGTGAGACCATTTCAGACCCACACAGCAGATCTGGGACAGCCACACAAAATATATTGGAGACTAGCGTCAGACAATGAGTTTCTGCTGACGCAGCAGAAAGCTGTGTTCTTTAAAGGTCAAAAATAGAAAGAAGAATGTCAGCTGGCTGTTTTTCGAGTCGAGTCAACGTTGAGTGTTTGAATTGAGACTGCTCGGAGGCAAAGTCCATTGCAGAATTGCCCGTACCGGCACAAGTCCATGGTAGAATTGCCCGTACCGGCACAAGTCCATGGCAGAATTGCCCGTACCGGCACAAGTCCATGGCAGAATTGCCCGTACCGGCACAAGTCCATGGCAGAATTGCCCGTACCGGCACAAGTCCGTGGTAGAATTGCCCGTACCGGCACAAGTCCATGGACAGATACCAAAATTTGAAAAACAAGAATACGTACAAGGTAGGCTTTGTGAATGATGATTGCTGGGTTCGGACACAAGAAGGGATACTGCCCACTCAAATAATGAATAAAAAGGTAAAGGTACAAATCGGGAGATGCGAACCAGCGTCACTGCACACGGTTATAAACCGTAAGTGCTCTGCCAACAGTACGGACAGTTGATAAGAAAATATCCGCATGTGGCGCCGTCCGCAGCTGAAGGACATTCCTCCATTTACCCCAGAGTATTAATTCTGGTACCCATTACCTAGAGGCTGGGTGAACCACGGGAATGGTCCGGTTTCAAACACCGGCCGTGGGCTGCAGCGAACCGCAGCTGGATTGGAAAGCGAGTCTCCTATCAACTGAGCTAACGCGGCCCTCATGTGTCGTTGATGAAACGAATATCACGCAATACATGCGTCCCTGACATTTTTTTTAAATGTAAAAATGCTATACTAGACAGCAGTACCTTATCCAATACTTACTTAATTGCTAAAACTGCTTCTGTCTAGTTATAACGGTTACAGTTTGTATCTGCATTAAAACGGTTCAGATTTGAAAGGGGGGGGGGGGGGGGAGAGAAACGAATAGTAATGAAGATATCTTGAAAGTAACTGACTCAGGAAGATAACTGCTTGCCTACACAAGAAAGAGACAATCTGCATTCGCTGGTAGTGTCATGAGGAGAAAAATGGGGCGCATTGTGACGGTAAAAAATGTAAGTGTAAAAGAAGCAGACGGAAACTGACAGAGAGGATTCTGGACAGTCTGACATCATGGTATGGAAGATCATTTGCGTTAGAACTGATTGAAACTACACGAGACAGAAGGTTGTGGACAGACATGACTACTAACGCCATACGGCAGGGACTTTAAGAAGAAGACCACACTATCTATCTTAGCTCTCCGGGACATTTACCGACATCCATGTTAAGATGCGCCGGCATGGAGCCAATATAATCAAATTATAAATATTAAAAATATTATAATAATCCTCGCACACACAAAACTGACGACATCAAGAATCGAAAAATGACTTACCTACAAAACGATGTTGCCGTAATCTTGTCTGCTAGGGCCAGGGAGCGCTTTGTTGGAACCAAGCCCATGTTGTGTCTGCAATTAAACAACATATTAACACACGATGAGAGATGAAACAAATTTTTGAAAACAAAAGTCTTACGGCGAATCTTTGGACTCAGCAAAGATGCAAACAGCGGGGAATGGAGAATAAGAAGCAATAACGAAATTCGTAATATGTTTAAATCACCCCTGATCACTGGCATCATGACTGAAAGACTGGGGTATACTGAGAGAATGTCAGATGATAGAGAGGTGAACATTGTGTGGACAAGGGAGTTAACCAGTTGTAGACCAGTAGGCAGACCAAGAAGACGATGGGGAGATAGTATACAGGCAGACCTATCTAGTGCCATTTACGAAAAAAAAAAGGGCGGCGGAGAGATGAACAGAGGCGGGTGATATCTGCATCAATGAACTGTTTGGGCTCGGAATGTTGAAGAAGAATAGGATTATCACAATTATTATTTATTCTACGTGTGCATCCTCTGTTAGGAATTACACATGAGTACACATAAGATGACGGGGGTCGGCCTTCGCTACAGTTGAAAGATGTGTGCAGACGGGACATGAATTATGAAGGTCCTGGGGTGCATTCATTGGACACATAACGCATTTTAATTGTATGGGGACAATAACAAGGACAATCGAGACAACGGAGAGAAAAAAGATCTGTTACATACGGACGCCCAGCTTTATTTTCGACTCTTATCAGCATTAGCAAGTCATTGTAAGAACAGAGGCAACCGTACACGCCTGAGAGCAGAAATCTAAGAATATAGCGAATTACGTCCGGATTAAGTGGTTCTCGCTGAAAGTAAACTTATCATAAACTGTTTCTATGTAGATGGCCGCACTTTAGAAATATAATAGTCGTGTTGTGTATCATATAACTAAGGGGGACCGGGGGAGGGGGGATAGCTGGGCTGCCGCCTCCGTTTCTCTTTGACGTGCGATCAACTACCCGTGGGTTGATTTGATGTTTGTTGCGGCGATCATGCTGTTTTTAAGGACACTGTTACTGCACCATGTTCTTGCTCTTATTTTTCTTTTTTCTGCTTGGCGTTCGCTGTAAAGTCCGGCGGAAAGTTCTGGGTGTTCGCCCACCTCTAAATTTTAGTCTTGTTTCAGAACTTGTTGCGTGCACATCCGTTTCATAAAGCTAGCTTATTTGTATGCAAACTCTGGTTCCTTGCCTCTCAGGCAGATGTACTCTTTGACTTCGAAGGATAACCCTAATTAGTCCACTCATGCGACACTGCAAAAAGTGAAAAGGGGTGGAAGTCTCCGGGTCTCTGAGAGTCCCCCACCCAATATTTTGTAAAGAAGCTAAGAAGTTCATTTTACCTATATATAGGAATTCGTTAAAGCATGAAAAGGCCGTGCACGAGGTTGTGTACGTCCACAGACGACACCACTATCAGTCAATAAATAATCAAGCGCCGCCTCCTCAATGAAGGTTGGCTGCAGTAGATCTCCAACCTATTCTGGTTGTACACTGAGACTACTGCTCAACCATCTCTTGATGTTAAGCTCCAACTTGTAATCCCTCCTGGGCACAATTAGTAGAAGTACACTTGAGTGGTGGCCGGCGTGCTGCTGACCACATCACCTACCAGATGCCGTCTAAAAAAAAATACAGGTCTAGCCCTATGTGCCTGAAGGCGTGAAAAAGGATCCTGAAGTGGCTACTGTATTGGAAGACTTGAGAACGCAGGGGCATCCCCAAAGTACAGTGACGTCGATCGTGATAACATAATTTGGCAACATCCGTGTCAGCTTACGACAACCTGCCTTGTGTGACAAGTAGCCCTTGCCCATTTTCAGTTGGGGATGCCCTTGAGGCCATACATTAGTTCACTCATTGCCAATCAGGAACAAGACAGCATGTACTGGCGGTTAAGACGGTTGACTCTGCAAGATTACTGTACCTGTGTTTACGACTTGACCGACCATAGAAACAAATCGCCGCGGACTGACAGAGGTTAAAGGTTAATAGCCTTGACATTAAAGGCTCCGTGTAATTAGCGACGCAAAGACGGTGTTATCTTTGATGAACTAGAGCTCCGGGAGACAGATGTCCCTCTTAAGGATATGATGCTATTTGGATAACATGTTAACCTGGTAGAAAGATGCCACCGATCGCGTGGGGCGGTGGTAAGACGCCATTCTTACTGGTGACCATGATACACATACATACATACATAGACAATGTATTTATCATCATCATCCTTCTCCTCGTTTGTGTGCCGTTAGACGTCACACAGGGCTTACATTCGACGCCTCTACTCCGCGCTATTGCATGCAACTCTATCGATATCTGACATTCAGAGTTCAGCCCAGCATTTGTTAGCCTTTTCTAATAATGTTCTTCACAGCGTCTCCCTTGGCCATCCTCCATATCTCCCATTTCAGTGCCTGTTTTGTAAATCCTTGCTCATTTGAGAGCGTGCCCAAAATATCTCCACCTTCTTTGTCATATTGCAGTCGATACAGGGTATTTGTCCAGACATTTCTCTGATCTCCTCACTCTTTTTTGCGTTCATCCCATTTTATGTTCATGAAATTTATTTTCAAATGCAATCAACTTCCGTTAAATTTCTTTGACAGTTCTTTAACTTTCGCTGCATATGTTAGAACGGAAGTAGCATTATAACTGTATGCACTGATTAGCACCCATAGAAAGATTTAGAAGTGCACAATAGACCAGTATACTTCAACCCACGGGCCTCGGCCCACTGGTGGCCCATAACCAAGTCTAGACGTTGGGGTTCATACTGAGGGGAGGATCTGAGCACCTATGGACATGTCCGGAGTGCAATGAGGATAACCCAACTAACTAACTAACTAACCAAGTCTAGGTGATCCGCTAAAATTGGCTGCCCAAACATGCAACTAAGCAGGCTAATCCACTAGGTAGTTGTTGTTTTTTTCCTCCCAGGATTGCAGTTGGCATGATTAACCTCAAGGAAGAGAATCATACCGGTACAAGTGATATTCAATATAACAATAGAGCATTTTAAGATGTTAGCTGGAAACTGTTATAATTATTTCCTCGAAAATGAGAATCCACGTTAATGAACCTTTTCATTATTAATCGAGTTGTCTTCTCATCTCAAGTCTTTTGTGCAGATATAAATGCAATCACTGTCTGAGTTCTGGATACCACTCGAAACAGAATATCCATGTCTGAGTTAAAGAGCTGTCAGACTGCGGTCACTTTTCGACTTATTGTATTCTCAACCATGTTAGTAATAAAAACCAAATTTAACAAATCGACTGAATCTTATTGCAGCGCTTCGTCTATCATAATTAACGCGACTGCTATGCATATCAACGTTTCTAGGTTCTAAGCAACAGCAAATGTCACAATTAGCAAAAAAGGTAATTTTGTATTTTAAAAAAATAATCATATTTTTACATGTCACCTACAAATATTTTTCTGTTTGGCTAGCCATCAAATGAGTGACGAATTATTTGTCCCAGTTTCGATGGGCCGTGGATGTTACAGGGTTGAAAAACACTGCATTAGACTACAAAAATATCAAAAGCTAGTTATCATGCCAGGAACCTAACCTGTCACTGCCACACGACAACACAGCCTCGCTGCAGAAACAAGTGCACTAAGACACATGGGCAACAAGCCTTAGCCTTCTTTCTATGAACACCGGTCAATATATGTTTCTATTGCCTCGAGGCTTCTCCGTCTGTTTATTACTAATGACCACTATGTTTTTGGTTTCTGTTGCGAAAGATCGTCCATATTTCACAGTTACCACAAGTGGTCTAGTTGTCCCTATATCAATGCAAACTACAATTCGGGTGGGAGTTCCCCAAAAATATGTATTTTCTTCGTGTTTCACGGTCTTTTTACCCAGCATCTCTTCTTTTTCCTTCTTCTCCTCCTCTTCGTCCCCACACTTTCTTTTCGTCTTCCTCCTTCTCCTCCGCTTCGGCCCCAATGCCCCTTTCATTAGTCTATTGGTGTATATCAAAAACACCCCGCGTCTCGACGGGCAAGAGATTTCGTGTCGGCTTCCATTCCCGCCATGGCCTTCGAGGCATGCACCAGTCTATTTACTATGTTCTTCGTGTACCACTGAAACACATGCCATCCAGCAACCCACGTCAAGGAACATGATGCCTCTCGTGCATCTTCATCTTCCATATTATTCACCACTGTGCCTAACTCGACTGCACGTGTTTTTTCAGGTCTCTCTCTTATCTCTTCTTCCCCTGAGAGTTTCAGTGAAACAACATTCTAATTATACAACTACAGGTTATCTTAATGGGTCTCTTCCACCGATAGCGCCCATCGTTTGATTTGTTGGAATTTTGATACGTACAGAGCACTGACGATACGCCCAGATTCATGTCGCTAAATCGTTATTTCGAAGATATGGATTGTTTGTATGTACACTGCTGATTCCTTGCATCTCAGAGACTCCGACTTCAATGGCACGTCCTAATTAGTCGACTCTTACGACATGCTTGTTAGGGAGGCAAAACGGAGACCCCAAATTTGCCAAAAGCATTTTCCTCGTACTGTAAGAAAATAAGCCCGTACTCATGGAACACTCAAAACAAATGTTCCCAAAGAACAAAAAAACCGACCAAATAATATACACACAAAGTAAACAATCAACAACCGACCATATGCTGGCTATAGAAAAAGTGTATTATTATATAACGTTACTTCAGATATGCAAAACAGAACAAGGAATGGAAGTAAGGAGAGAATTAATGAACATAAATGGAAATGATTTATTGCTGAAAAGGAAAACGATTTTACCAGGGAGTACAGTTCTTCTAAGGCGTGAAATTGCTGTAGAATGTTCTTTTCAAACCCAATAGAGGAAATACATGTACACTGTTACACACACCGACAGAACAAGAAAAGAAAGCATTATCAGAACTGGTTCCCGTCTTACATGAGAATACACTTTTCGTGCGCAATCTAAACCCAAAAAAAACGGTGCGCCTATATGATCGTATTACATTGCAATAAAAATAATTACCAGCTAATCCTCAAAAAC